ACCTACTGTTATAGGGGCATGCCTTTCAGACTCAAAAACGCCAGAGTCACGTACCAGTGCTTTGTGAATAAAATATTCAAGGCATAGATTGGGAAGACAATGGAGGTCTATGTGAACGATATGCTGGTAAAAAGTTTGGATACGGCAAACCATGTAACATACTTACAAGAGACCTTTGACGTCCTTAGAGCTTATCGGATGAAACTAAATCCTAAAAAGTGTGCCTTCAACGTAAGCTCAGAAAAGTTACTTGGCTTCATGGTCAATAAGAGGGGCATTGAGGCTAATCCAGACAAGATCAAAGTTATCATGAACATGAAATCCCCAGCCTCCCTGAAGGAGGTCCAACACCTTAACAGAAGGTTAGTGGCCCTTAGTAGTTTCGTTTTCGAGTCAGTAGATAAGTGTTTACCTTTCTTTAAAATTCTTCAAAAATCTTTTCAATGGGGACCGGATGCAAAAGAGGCCTTCCAAAAGTTAAAGGCTGCCTCATTACACCCCCTTGCTCTCTCATGCGATACCTGGAGAGACCTTGTACCTTTACCTATCTGTCTCGCCCTTCGCTGTGAGTTCTTTCCTTGTCACGAAGGGGAGAGGAGTTCAAATGCCTATTTATTATGTGAGTCGGGCATACCGAGGAGTAGAGGTAAGGTATTCTGAGTTGGAGAAGTTAGCCCTCGTGCTAGTCACTGTAGCCAGGTGCCTACAACACTATTTTCAGAGCCACACCATCGTGGTTATCACAAATCAACCACTCAAATGAATACTGGGAATGCCAGATGTGTTTGGACGACTCCTCAATTGGGTCGTTGAGTTAAGTGAGTTTGACGTGCAGTATCAGCTAAGGATGGCCATAAAGGCACAAGTAATTTCAGATTTTGTGATCGAATTGACACCAATAGCAAAAGAAAGCTCCCAAAAAAAAGTGTCATATGCCCCTATGCTCACCTGCTCAATACACAACGCTTGGACTCCCCACATGGCAAGGCTAGGCGCCACCCCCAAAAAGCCTGGCGCCTTGGAACCAGCGGCCTAGACCCTTGGCTCCCAGGCTCCCTGGCCTAAGGCATCTAGTCTTCCAGTATCATCAATGTCAGATGCCCCAACACCCTCGTCGACTGCACCACAACTTTCCGCCCTCCTACATGACTGCACTTCCACGCTTGAGTAGGCGTCTCCAACTATCAAAGCTTATACACCCACCGATTCAGTAGCATGCTGGAAGTTATACATAGATGGATCTTCTACTAGTGAGGTCAGTGAAACAGGGCTGGTACTTATCAGTCCCCATGGCACTCTACTCAAATACGTAGTATCTCTTCATTTTGCAGCATCTAACAATCAGGCAGAGTACGAGACCCTCATCTTAGTACTGAAGCTCGCAATTAAAATGGAGGCCCTTTGTCTCACTGTCTATAGAAATTCTCAGCTGATAGTCAATTAGGTAAAGGGAGACTTCAAGGCAAAGGAGAAAATGATGCAAGAATATCAATCAGTGGTATGAACTTTGTTGAACAACCTCCAGATTCAACATCTACCTAGAGAGGATAACGCCATGAAAGATGCGTTTGCCAAGTTCGCATCCGCAAATATCCCAACAGGTCCCGCACTCACGGGTCACCAATTTGAGCTAAGTAAACTCAAAGCAGATGAAGACAATGTCAATTGTGCATCCTCCGATGCCAACTGGATGACACCCATTCCAGAATATCTAGAAGAAGGCACTCTCCCAAAAAACTCGATTGAAGCCAAGAAACTAAGACTAAGGGCATCTAGATACGTTGTCTTGCTTGACACCCTTTACAGGAGGGGTTACTCAATGTCGCTGCTTTGCTGCCTCTCCCCAAAAGAATCCAATTATGCTATGAGAGAAATCCACGAGGGAATATGTGAAAACCATTATAAAGGGTGCGCACAAGCTCACAAGGCAATAAGGCAAAGCTACTGCTGGCCTAACACGATTAGAGACACCCAAGAATTTGTAAAAAAGTGTGATAAATGTTACCGCTTTACGAAGGTGCCAAGATAATTGCTGGAAGAATTAACCACCATCATGAGCACTTGGCCTTTCTCTAAGTGGAGAATTTACATCCTAGGCCCCCTACCTATGAGTCGTAGCCAATTCAAATTTGTGGTAGTAGCCATTGAATACTTTACAAAATGGGTAGAAGTTGAGTCCTTAGTTAGAATAACAGATCAAAAATTGAAGGACTTCATCTTGAAGAACATAGGGTACCATTTTGGAGTACCTCATGCTATAGCAATTGACAATATTAAGAAATTTGACAACAAACTCCTCAATGGCTTCTGTGTGGACTTACAAATCAAGTAACCCCACTCCAGTCCAGCCCATCCCCAGGCAAACAGGCAAATGAAGGTCACTATCAAAACAATCTTAAGCAACATAAAGACTAGGTTGGAAAGCGCCAAAGGGCATTAGGTGAACGAACCTCCTGGAGTACTATGGGCTTACCGGACAACACCAAACAGCCCCATGGGTGAGACCCCTTTTCCTTAGCCTATGGAACAGAGGTGGTCATACTAGTCGAGATTAGGGTACACTCCCTGAGGGTCCAACACCACGACCCAACCACCAATGAAGAAGGCATTTGCATCAACCTCGACTTGGTAGAGGAGGAAAGTGAAATGGCTATGGTCCGGAATGCAAAGTACAAGCACCACATAACCAAATACTACAACTTGAGGGTGAAGCCTCGCTCTTTCTTGTCTAGGGACCTAGTTCTCAAGAAAATAATCCTATCTACCAAGGACTCTCAAGAAGGGAAGTAAGGCCCTAATTGGGAAGAACCTTACATCGTGACAGAAGTTGAAAGACCGGGCACCTATAGAATTCAAACCTCTAAAGGGAAAGTCTTGGCTCTTCCATGAAACGCCAAACACCTGAAAATGTATTATCAATAACATGGAAAAACCAGTGACTCTCATTGCTCTATCATTAGTCAATTTGTTTACTTTGTTATCTATTATTTTAGTTGTGAAATAAAACTTTGTAAAGATTATTTTGTCTAGAACTATCCTTCTTTCATTCCCTAGAAGTTTGTAAATAACTTACAAAAGTCAAAACATGATCTGACAACAAAAAAATAGACAAGTAAAGATAACAATTGTCATATACCTGACAATCGCTCACTACTCTCCGATCCACTCTCATCAAAACTTTCTCCATCACCACCTGTCTCTGGTGCCTTATATGGGACGAAACCAAGAAATCAATATCAAAAAAAATCGTTGAGGTCTTACCCCTAAACTCCTCATAACCATCAATAATAGGCCCTACAATGCTACATTTCAGATCATGAACAACCCTCTTTGCAGCCTCTCTCTTCTCTTTATCTCAACGAAATGAGCCTCTGCTCTGGTGTTTCTCTCACGAGCTACTCGTAGATTTGCCTCAGCCACTTAAACCCTCTCACGAGCTATTCGTAGCTCTGCCTTAGCTCATGCAACCCTATTGTGGGCTGCTCGTAGCTCTATCTCTACTCTCGTGTAAGCAATCTCTCTTTCAGCCTCCAGCTTAGGCCCCTCTCACCGAGCACCAAAATCTTGGGCTTAAGAGGTGCTTTTCTTTTATAAGCCAACCTCAACTACTCCTCAGCAGTCTGGCGTGCCTTTCTCTCTTCCGTCAAAGCCCCTCGACACCTCTCCAAACTTGACTATCCTCAAAAAAGGGCATTGAAAAGAAGTTGCTGCCTATGAATATCCAAGAGGCAAAACATTAAAAAAAAAAGTGCAAAAATCAAAGTTGAACAGAAAGGAAGGGCACCATAGTGAATCCCTCCATCGCGGTATCAATGATACCTTCTAGATCCCAAGAGCCGACCTCTCTAATATTTGTAGCAGTCACAAAATTTAAAAGTCGCTTCTTGTCTAGGTTCACGTCCTGTAGCATGGAAAATGAGCCACTATGAAAGCAGGACAACTACGAGGAGCTCCGGGAGTCTTAGGCCCTAAAGTAGCCCTAGGGCTAACCCTGGCACTTGAAGAGGACACGTGCTAAGAAGAACTGGGGGCACCACTACACCTCACCCTCCGAGAAATACCATTGCCATCAGACCTTGGCTGAGATGCACTAGGGGCATTAGGCTTCTCCCTCTTGGGAGAAGGGGGAGACGCCACCCTAGAAGCATAGAGAGCCTCCACCATCACTCTATCAACAACAGCACCTACGGAACTTGAACAAGAGAGAGAATTCACATGTATTATCATATTTATCCAAAGAACCAAATACCTTTCTTCTTTTATCTGGGGGAGGCTCTGGAGTGGCCCGGCTTGGATATAAGGGCTGCAAAGTGTTTGGTAAGATGATCCCTCATAGCCTGGAGCCTACTCTCCTACTCCATCGATAGTGCAGACGAAGCTGCAAAGTGGTCGAACATACAATAAATACAAGAATGATATGATAGTCGGGCATAAAAGCAAGGGAAAAACTCATGCCTAACTTGGTCTTCAGAGGAGTATCCCATCTCAAGGGCAATAGGCCACAGTCCTACTTGGAATCCCACTCTCTTCCTACAAAGAAAAACCTATATTTCCTATTATAACAGTTGGAGGGCAATCTAGCGATTAGTTTCCTCGACCTCGAAGCAAAATGGTACCATCCTTGATGCGGAATGGGATTCTCCAAAAGTTCATATGAGGCCAGGAAATCCTCAGAAAGGGGAGAGATATCCTCACCACGAACCAGTTGCCATAATAAAAAGAACGCCAAAAGCACCCTCTAGCCATTTAGAGTCAACCTCCTAGAGACAAGCGACAAGTGACCTAAAACCCGATAAATTGGTCTAGGAATGGGAAACCTCACCCCTACCTCCATGACATCCTCATAGAAAACAATCTCCCCAGAGGAATCATAACATGTTGGCTCATCCTTCTTGACCCAATGACATAGAATCGGGATATGGATGGAAGAAACAATACTAGCAATGTCATTGTTACAATCTATGGAGTTGAAAATCAAAGTTACCCTCGAGTTATCACTGTCAGTAACTCCCTTGCGTTGTTGAGAAGCTTGTGCAGAGTTTGACGTTGTACCCTATCAGATTAGGTAGTTGTAAAAATCAAAGTGAATCTCAAAAAGGTCCCAAAATAACGAAAAAATTAAGGGGTGAGCAGAATCGCCTTACCTAGTCGAAAGGCATGACACTCTTCCTCACTAGCAAAACCCAAACCAATTCCAAACAACTACACACCGGAGCCTAGTTCCCTAGAGTTGTCCCCTAGCTCCCTACCAGCATAAGCGACAGCGCATGCGCAAGCTCCAGTGCAACCCTTCTTGCCTCCGGCGTCGCCAAGCCCAATGCCCCTTGTGTCTCTATCGCCCTCTTTGCTGACCATGGCATAGCCCATGGCATCACCCATGGCCCTCATCTGCGTTTTCTTCCTTCTGACATCCATGTTTCCATGTCTTCATCGATCTTTGTGAACAAAGTATATGAAGGGTACCTCCGAGCTCTAGTTAGGAATGAGAATTTTGGGAGAAGGAGGTGGAATGTGGATGGCTCACTCGTGGGTCTATGAATATAACATGCTAAAAGCCCTATGTTTGAGGCCTGGAAAGAATATGGGGTTTTTTCTATAAGGGATAGATTTTTTTCAAATTTAATGGAAGACCCAGCAGAGGAGGTTGGGTGCTAGCAAGGTGGGTGTCCAACAATGGTGCTACCGAATAAGGCAAAAAGCTTCGAAAATGTAATAGATTAGATAGCTAAAGAAACTATATGGAACAAGATATTTGGTCTACCCAAATGTGGGAGCTCATTCATGCCCTCAACACCCTATCACCACTAGGGCTTGGGGCATTAGGGGCAAATGATGAGCCTAGATCCAACTGAGCTTAGGCCCAGTCCATGTGTTAAGCCAAATCATCCAGGCTTAACTCATGGCCTCAGTCCAATCTAAGACTCGAAAATCCAAAAATAGTCAACGCACGTGGGAAAACAATCATCGGGCTAGCCATGACTCCAAGATAATGCCTAGCTCCAATTGTAGCTCTCCTCCCCAGAAAATTAGTAGCTTAACTTTCATGATACCGCCACAACTAGAGCTCTGTGCCTATAAATTGAAAATCCCTTGCACAGGGAAGACACCCTACACCTTGAGCATACACTTGCACTCTTTCTCTCTCCTACCACCTTGTGCTTCCTCATTAATAAAGTTCTCTGGTTACCGTTGTCCCCTTCAATGGTAAGGTCACCTAGACTCGACTAACCAATCTTTATCTCTTATTATTGATTACTTCATTAATTAATTGTTTTACATCATACACTCGACTGATTAATTGTGCATAGTCAACTTTGTGCATCATCAAACACATCGTTCTAAATGACGCCTTTAAAAATGTTGTTTTCAATTATGTCTTTGAAGACGTTACTTTAAATGATGATTTTAATGAAATATATGTTAGATTTCATTAAACTTATATTAGTTCATTTCTACTGAAAAAACATCACTTGGAATGACAATTTTACCTTAAAGTTCTCATTAGGAATGAAGTTTTCAAAAAGTGACTAGCTTTGAGAAATAAGTTGCCCAAAGGTGTGGGATTGGTGAAAACTTCATAGATATGCAAATATATGTGTGAAATGATGGAGCCACCCCCTCAAATTTCAAAAACTATCCTATATCCCCCTTAGGTTTTCAAGAACTCTTTACGTAGGGCACTTTATTTAGTGATTTAGTAAAATTTAACGGAATGACATTTAATGACCAAACAGAGGATATTGCAACCATATGGACAAGTATTTTTCTTCCAAATGAGTACACTTATTTGAATGAGTTTCGTAGCCAAAGGAAGAAAAGAAGTAAAATTACTGCAACATTTAGTTGCAAATGTGCCTTATGCAATCAAAAAGCCGGCCCAAGGGGTAAGAACCAAGGGGTAAGAAGTTGAAACATCCACTTACGGCTCCCAAATTTTCTAGGCCCCAAATAAAATTTTGGAATTCGGGTTCAATTAAGTTTAATTCATTTCCAAGTCCCAAATAAAATTTATAAACTAATGTTAATCAATTTTGGTTTGACTTTAAGGGCCCCAATTTTTTTGTAAGGCCCAAATAAAATTTTCTAGATCTATGTTCAATTAAGTTCAATTTAATTTTTGGGGTCTCAAATAACACTCACAGACCCAAGTTTAATTGAGTATAGTTTTTCTTTTAAGGCATCAAATAAAATTTCATACCCATGTTCAATCAAATCGCATTGTGCTGTTAGAGCCACTAAAAATTTGATGGGAAATTTTTTAGATACAGATTAAATAAAAGAAATTTTCATTCTTTTTGACCCCCTATACCAATTTGAGACGCATTTCTTTTGTAATAATACCATTTATGTCTTGGAACCTACCTTATGTAATAAAGATGTACAATTTTTTCTTCCATATATTATTTCCAACTAGTTAGATCAATTTGAAAATCATTTAACTTTTTTTTTTCTTAAATTTGATGGTATTTCCGTAAGTTAAGTGAGTTGGATTGAATTCGTTGAGAAATCATTTTTGTTTCAAATGATTGCATAAAATATCGCTTGAGTATTCAATGTGGGACTTTAAGTTTATTATTTAATTTTTTTTACATGATTGTGCTTACAAAAATGAATATTCTTTTTATTAATACAAGTAATTTTGCATTTCCTATAGTAAAAATATTTATATGAATACATCAAACTATTTATATTATTGATATTCTTTTGGTAAACATTTATAGATTTTTAGTTAAATATTCGCTGAGGGCCCAAATTTATGTTGGCCTGCCCCCAGTCATCAGCAATACACTGCTTTTCATCCCAACCCTTTTGCATTTTTGGTTGCAAATTGAGTTTCTAAGAACATGTTGAGGGAATTTAAGACAAAGAATAGCTAACTTTTGGCTATCAACACGCACATAAGATTCCCTTTTGAGAATCTTCCTTTCTTAGGATATCCTATGGGTGTCTTTCTTCTCTCTCCTGCGGTTCTCAGTTCCAACTCGTACAGTGCCTTCAACGTTGCCCTAGTGCCTTGCGGCATCCTCCGGATTATTGAAATCTCCCTTTCGGTGTATGGGTTTGTTTTGTTAATCTTTCTGCTTTTCTTTGTGTGTTCTCCCGATTGGTCATCTGGACTTGTCCTTCCCCACTTCACTCGCTTTGTCGTCATTCTCCATTTGGTTTGTTGGATTCGTATCCCCTTCCATTCTTTTGGTCTTCAATCTACTTGTCCCGCCTCCCTCTCTCTCTCTCTCTCTCTCTCTCTCTCTCGTTCTAAGTATTATACTACTTATTTTGTCCTATTTGGTTTTCTGTGTAAGGTTGGTTATCTTTGATAATGGAAGGATGAACGATAGCATTATCGGCTAACTACAGTCGTTCTCGTTGACAGAGGAAGAAACAAATATTTTCGCTTTTGACAGAAACGGTATTGCCGACTGCATCAAGGAATGTGACAAGAGTATTTTCGGGAACATAATATTGCATAATTTAGATCTCATATTATTCAACTTTGCTATGTTAGCTACTTAATATTTGTGTTTGCAGGTAAATTAGTTTAAGAGTGAGGTTTTTTAGTCATTTTAATGCTATAGATAACTTGGAGAATGAGTCAGGAGATCCAGAAGTCGAGTCAAGAACATTACAAGCATAATTGAGAAAAAGGCCAATTTTACCGGTAGGAAGCCTATCGGTTCAAAACAAGGAAAATTGAGTTCTACCAATAGCAATTCATTCCTACCAATAGAAGTGAAACACAAACTTTGCTACCATTAGGTCTTAATCAAAGGTTATTCTACCGATAGATGTGAAAAGCTACCAGTTCGTCAAAAACAGAATGCTATCCTACTGGTAGGTCGTTTTGTGCTTGCTATTGATATATTAGTGTTTTACTATTGTGAGGACTTTTCTGGAAAACTAATCTGCTAGGATTTAAAATGAGAAGATATTCAGCAGATATTCTCCTACAAATACCCAAGTCTAGCCAGAGAGGAGATATCATCGATCAATTGATCAATAACTCTTTAGACGTTTCTTTCTTCTCCTAGTTTAAGAATTAGGTTTCTCCTTTTCAAGAGTATTCCCCATTATTTTCAATTTTGAGCTCTGTTCTACTTCTAATTCTTTAATTTCTACAAGGCAATTAATTCTAATTCTCTTTTGTGAACGATTTATATTATTTTCAATTTAATTCAAGGTAATTTATTGTACTTGAAATTTCAATTCAAGTTTATTTGTTGTTCAATTACAATTATATTTTCTTCAACTGCTGTAATGAGTTAGTTGTTTTTCAGTTTGATCGGATGAGGGAGTCTTATCCGTGAATGGAAATTTTGACCTAATTAGGGTTTTCTCCAAATAATGAGTTATTTGGTTGTTTGAATGAATAAAGTTGAAAATACATTCGATATGCATATCTTCTCGCTTATCCAAAGACAATTAAGTCTAGCACAAGTAATTCTTTGAATTATTGCAATTGATGTGAATGTAATTCTTTCAAAATTAGTTCAATCAACTTAATACACAAGTTTTATTTTTGATGGGTATTCATTGAATATTTTCTGCTTGAGTGCGTTTGAGTACAATCTTGAGTAAGTTAAAAAATGGGTCAAAATATCTGTTTATGGTGAGATAAACTTTGACGATTAACCAATCTTTTTCTTTAATTTTTATTTCTTAGTTGATAATTTTTTCAACCAAACTTTCAAAATTCCAAAGTTTTTACTTTTCTTTGCCTACCACCCTTTGAAACACTCGTTTTCTTTGAGGAGACAACCTCGGTAATTGACCGAGTTACAACAAGATAATCTTGCTACGCTTGGGAAACCTTTGTTATTTAACCCACTTTTGAGGGCAGGCAATGCAAAAATCTGAAAATCAATAAGGTTGGCCAAAATAGCTTTCAGTGCTTCTTTCATGAGGCGAAGTACTTGACAAAGGCAGTTTACCATGGTTCGTGGTGCTTCGATAACCAGTTGCTTATTTTCTAGGGGTGGTCACAAAATGCCAATATAAATAATATGAAGTTTGATTATGTACCATTCTGCGTACAAGTACAAGGTTTGCCACATGAATGCTACACAAAGGAGATGGCTCTCAAGATTACAAATAGTTTTAATAGTTGTGAAATTGGGGGGAAGACAAAGGTTTATGAGGATTCGTGTTGAGATCAATATTCTTCGATCATCCGTTGCAGCAAGGAAACAAGCTTCGAGATAATGAGGGAAATATATGTTTTGCAATTTTCCAATATGAGCGCCTTCCAAATTTATGTTTCTAATGCGGCAGAATGGGCCATATTGAGAAGAACTGTAATTCTTGTCATATGGAGATTGATTTGGGTACAAGAAAGGAAAGCCAATATGGTCCTTGGATGGGGACAGAGGTTAGAAAATCAATGCTTTCTTCGCCAGAGGTTCCCAAGTGATGTTTTCGGCGGGGATATACTGGTTGACGAAGTTTAAGAGGAGAGTAATCGATGGCAGGGATCAAGGCGAGAATTAAGGAATAGAGTCATCATGGGTGATTCCAATGGGTGTGGCACTAACCTGGAGAACGTGTTAACTGAGCGTATGGAAGTTTTTAGCAATCAAGGGCACAATCTAGGCCTACTAACTACAACACATGGCGACAAAGGAGGATCAGTAGGTGCAGAGGAAAAGACATAAGCAGTTTTGAAAGAAAAAAGGCAGGAATTAGGCGAGATGTCCATGGGCCGGAGTCTTTTAGTGGATATCCCATGTAAGGCTGACCTGGTGAAATTTGGAAGTGGGCCAACCAGCATAGATGATCTCTTTATTACCTAAGCAGGGGCCCAAAATATGGCTACATCTCAATTGAGTCAAAAATCTAGTAAATTAGGAGGTTTGACAAGGAAAGAGAAGGGGAAGTGGAATAGGGTTACTGGGTCTCCTTCAAGACCAAAGAGCTAGAAAATCAGGGAAACGCTGGTGGGTTTTAAAATGAAAGTGATCGATCAGCTAAAGGAAGGAGAATGTGTGATAAATAAGAGGGCCAATGTATTAGATGGAATCGCAACATATCAAAAATAAATGGCGGAGATTGACGTTCAGCCAATAGCCATAATAGGTGTGATCTAGAACTGTCGAGGGCTTGGGATCCCTCGGACAGTTAAAAGCCTTTACAGTCTAGTGAAGAGAGAAGGAACCAACCTAATCTTCTTGATAGAAACAAGATCAGGGACAAGAGCGTTTGAGCAGATTCAACAGAGGATAGGCTTTTCTCAAGGCCTCATCGTCGACTCAAGAGGCAAATCAGGTGGGTTAGCATTGCTATGGAAACAATATACTCAGGTAAATATCAAAAGCGTCTCTGATTTTCATATTAAACCTATTGTTAATGAAGGAAGTGTTTCTCAATGGCGTTTCATTGATTTTTATGGCCACCCAAATGCAATAATGAGAATTCTTGGTCACTGTTGGCAAAATTACATGGGAGATTTTAATGAGTTTATTGTGAATGATATCCTATGGGAGATATGATAAGCTATGGGTGTGTGGGGGAGATTATTATGAATGATGAGAAAGGGGGGTGTTGAGAGACCAATTTGGCAAATGCGCGACTATCGAAGAGTGATTGATGAATGCTAACTGGCGGACCTAGGTTATGAAGGTCAGGCACATACTTGGTGGAATGGTAGTATACACCCTTTCTTTGTAAATGAGAGAATAAATAGAGTTTGTGGTTCCATATCGTGGCTGTCAAGCTTCTCCTTCCTTTCTTTTTCGTAGACTGTGGAAATAATAGAAGCTGTCAATCAAATTCATCCGGAGAAGGCACCTGGTCCCCATGGTATGACTACAAAATTCTACCAGAAATTTTCGGATGTGATGGGAGATGACGTTGTTTGAATTGTCTTGGATTTTCTTGAATATGGTAATTTTTTCCCAAGCTAAATTATACTCATATAGTTTTGATCCCAAAAACAGCATCACGAGAAGATATGACTCAATTCTGTTCCATTAGCCTATGTAACATAATCGACAAACTCATAACAAAAGTCCTTGCCAATCTTATAAAGAAACTCCTGCCAAGTATCATTTTAGAGTATCAAAATGTGTTTGTGCCAAGAAGGCTTATTACTGATAACGTTCTAGTAGCACAAGAATTAAAACATCATTTGAAGGAGAAAAGGAGAGGGGGTAAGGGTTTTATGTCTATAAAGCTTGATCTGAGCAAATAATATGAGAGGGTGGAATGGAGCTTTATGAAAAAAATTATGTACAAGCCGGGTTTCGACACTAGGTGGATCAAGCTCGTCATGACTTGCATGAAAACAGTTTCCTACTCTATGGTTATAAATCAAAAACAGATTGGTTACCTCCACCCTCGAAGAGGGTTAAGGCAAGGCGACCTGTTATCGCCATACCTATTCCTTCTCTGTTCAAATGGTCTTTCAGCATTATTGAAGTGAGCTGATAAAGGAAGACATATACAGGGGTTAACTACAAGTCATGATGGGCAATTTCTTTCCCAATCTATTGTTTGCAAATGATAGTATTCTCTTTGCACAAGCTAATGATTCAAATGGGGAAACTGTTAGAGAATCTCTCAATTCACATGAGAGCGTTTTGGGGCAAAGGGTAAATCTTGCAAAAGTCTGCGGTGATGTTTAGATGCAATTTGGGGTTGCTTGAAAGAAGTAGAATAGCGGGGTTTTGGGAATTCCAATGGTAGAGTCTAACAAGAAGTATTTGAGGCTCCCTTCTATTGTCGAAAAATCCAAGAGGGAGAAGAAATTACAATCCATCAAACAGAGTGTTTTGCAAAAAATCCAAGGGTGGAAGGAGAAATTACTGTCGAAAACAAGGAAAGAAATTCTTATTAAAGTAATGGTGCAAACTATACCATCGTATTGGATGTCATGCTTTAAACTTCCTAATTCATTATGCAAGGATTTAAATAGCATGTTAGCTAGGTTTTGGTGGGTTCGTTGAGATTCATTGAATTTCCTGGGATAAGTTTGCGGCAAAATCGAAGGGAAAATTAGGATTCTGAGATATGGGCGCCTTCAATATTGCTTTGTTAGCAAAACAATTCTGGCATTTGCTCCAAAATCCTGAGTCTTTGCTATTCAGTGTGTTAAATGCCAAATCTTTTCCTTCCACATCTCTGATGGAAGCTCAGCTTGGGACCAATGGAGAATAGGAGATGGACAAAGTGTTCGGGTTAAAGAAGACAAGTGGATTTGAACTCGAAATAATCAATCACTGAACTTGGACACGCCCTAAGGCATTGTACATAGTTCTTAAACACGAAATAATCAAACAATGAATATAAACATGCATTAAGCTGAAAATCGTTTGATCATTTTTAATGTCATGACATTAGTGAAATAAAAAAGGGTCAAAATATGGATACTCTGTAAGAAACTTTCAATTTTTTGGCAAAATATCCTCTAAAAATTTGATGCCACAAATACATCAACCTGTTTACAAAATTTATATATTTCATAATCATAATCAAATCATGTCATATGCAAACTGAAATCCAACTATGTACCAGTTACCACAACACCATTATTCCTACACAAACAACTATATCCATACTTGTAAAAGTGACAGACAGAACATAAGATTTTTTAAAAATTGAAATAAACTCATAAAATATTTCGATCACAAACTACTTTAATCACAAAACAAAATGACCACATACTACTTTAATCACAAAGAATAACCCATAATTGTGCCTAAAAAAATAGAAGAGGTTTAAACTCACATGATTTGCGAAAATTGTGAGATCTTTCATTTTTCAATGTTGTGAGTCTGCAGAGGTGGCTAGTACACTATGATGACTACAAATACAAGAAACAGAGTAAATCAAAAAATTAGAAATATTCGTTAAATACTCATATTCATTTTATTGTAAAATTGCTAAAAATCATAGTTTTAAAACCCTGCCCGGGCGTCAACCCGGCAAAGGGACCGGGTCAATGGGTTACTGGTTCAACTGTTGGGTTACTGGTATGACCGGTAATATAATAAAAAATTAAAAAATAATTATAAATACTAATAAATAGGCTAAAAAATCACAATAATTATAAAAATAACATCAAACATGTAAAATTAAGCAGAGAAAAATCATCAAACATGTATCCAATTTCAATGTATTCAATTTTCAATATAACTTGTAAAGTTAAGTAGAGAAAAATACCTCAAGGAGCTAGTTGTGTAGATTGAGATTCAATTGGTGTTCCGGATGAAGATTTTCTGATATGACGTCGAAAACCAAAAAGCCACAAGTAATTAAACCCCACAACACAACACACTAACTTTAAACTATAAATTATAAACTAACAGTCTAAGATACAAGACAATAAATAAAGTATAAACCCCAACAAATGAAAATAATAGAACTCATAGTAGAATTTATGCAGTGCAATAAAATAATCTCACAAGGAGAATTTCACAATCTCTAAACACTAAAATGTATGCAGTGCAGTCAAACACTGAGAATTTCACAAGCTCACACCAATAATCAACTCACAACTTTTCACAAGAATTTCACAAGCTCTAAACTCACAACTTTTCTTTATGCTTCAGTTACTCTGTAGGCTGGACTGGAGAGAGAGAGAGAGAGAGACAATGACAGACGACACAGTCATAACTAATAATGCAACAACATTAGTTTTCTAGAAATAGGAATCAAAATGTATTTCTTGATCATACAGTCTTGAGATTGGGGATCTAACAAATACAAATTATTCAATGACACTAATCAAACAGAGTCAATTTGAATTAGTTAAAGAGATGAGACCACAAGGAGGATGGCCTTTATACTATTTTTATCAAACCTGAATTTGGTTACTAACTCAAGTGACATCACACTTTATAAGCTATAATGGTGTGTATTCTGCAGCAAAATACTTCCAAAAATAATAAAGAATATTTCACTTTTTGATACTCAATATGGATTGAAACTCTTTCAAAGGGTAACAACTCTATGATCCATACATTTTTTTGGGCTTCCAACCACCATAAATTAGTGTTTCATTGACAGAGGCATTTGATCGAACATGTGGTAGGCTTTTTCGAGTGAGAAAAAAACTTCCTTCAGCAACTACAAAGGGGGCTGGGCAAGGAAAGGCAGAGCCAAAGACCAAAATACAAATCAAACTAAGAGATAGAGAGTAGACAGCGTGAGAAAGAGAGAGAGTGTATACCAGTATGTACCTGTTGCTTCCCCTTCGAGTCTTTGATCGAGGCTCATTCCCTTTCGAGTTCCCACTGCACAATACTCTATAAACCAGAGCAGAGCAAGAGAGATTGAGAGTCTAAGAGAGAGAGAGAGAGAGAGAGAGAGAGAACAAACGACATCCACCAAAGGGGGACTGGGCAACACAATTTAGGGCAAAATGCCCAACAGGGCAAAAAATCAACCTTTTATACTAAATTAAATGACCTACCCGGCTTGATGGAACCTGTCCGATTTGACAGTTTTTTCTGGGTTTTTGTCGATTCACCGGGTTGACTCCGATGCTTATGCATAAACGAACCAATAGGTGAACCAGCCCGGTTTAGGCACCGGGTCAACCCGCCAGGCCAGACTGAGTTTTAAAACACTGCTAAAAACACATAATAGCCTCTATTTCATACTAATTCACATACAATCTCTATAATTAATCAAAACCCTATAAAAACCTATTTCA